AATCCTTCCTCTTAATAAACCACTTAACCCATTTGAGCCTTAGTTTCCTCATCTATAAAATAGGGATAGAAATAGTACCTGCCCATAAGGTAGTTAGGATGAAATGAGACTATTCTCCTAAAGACTTTAGCACATAACGAGTCGTCAAACATTAGGTATATTTCTTTAAAGTGTAGTGTTTGCCCACTACTCCAGGCACCAGTGCAACAGTCAAAATCCAGATAATGCAGGATGAATATCCAGGGGAATGAAAGTTTGGATATTGTGCTACTTAGATTTGTTTGGTTTTTATTCATTCTTAAGCACATCGTTGAGAAGATGGTGCTTGGACATGTTGAGAGTATCTCTGTTTTCAATATCTTGAGAGTTTTTTTCTTCCCCTTGTCATAAATGACATTCACTTCTATGAAGTTTAAAAAAAAAAAATCTAGCCTAAGCAATGAAAAAAAGAAGACACCATCCGTATATACTCTTGCATCAAAGTAGCTCTGTGAGCTTAGGCTGTGTGCTGCCAGCCAGGGTGCCCCAGAGCCACTTGGATGAGTCTGAACTGGGGACCTCATCGGACCAAGATAAGGGGATGTCAGGTCTCCCATCCACCCCATCATCCCTTCCGCCCAGCTGCTTGGAATCCAAATGTCTGTACCTTTTTATGTGGATGGCTTGGCTCGAGAACCTTGGAGCAATCACTGCTGGAATTGGCAGGCCTCTCCGAGAACACAGGAAAGGGGGAGCAAAGTGGAGCCAAGGACAAAAATCAAGTTCCAAAGCACAGGATGCCTGTGGAGGGGCTAATCAGCGCTGAATCACAGTGGTCTTCCTGTGTCCTCTTGTTCCTTTGAATTGTTGTTATTGCAGATAACACTGGAGTCTCTGAAACTCGTAGCTTTGAGAAAGCCTCTGAGGCACTCCCGCCGTGAGAAATGTCTAACACAGTTGATCAGGCTGTCCCGTGTGGCTGTGTGATTGACCCATTTATGCGCATCGCACCTCAGCATCAGCTCAGACTCTTCCCTTCCAGCTTGCTGTATGTGGATCCATCACTTCATTCTCCCTTTCTCCATGTCAGATACTTGGTGTCTTGGTTGTTCCAAGTTCCCTCCCTGCACTGACACGTACCTGCCTAGCCAGTAGTGTGGCATAAATGAGTCTGAGTTTCTGCAGTCCCCCAGTGAAAAATCTTCTTCAGGGCAATCAGCTTAGAGTGTCATATGTCAACTCAGGGATCTGCCGGGTCCTGCTTAGAACACCAGGGAGCTGGGGACAGTGTGGGACCCCAGGGTGATGGTGCTGTGCCTGATGTAAGAGCAGAAGCCTGGGGCCAGGAGAAAGGGACTGCAGGTACTGGGTCCTGTGTGGCCACCCTGGGAGTCTGACCAGCAACAAGCCATGTTCCTGCGCTAACCCTCAGTCTTGTCGCTTGTAGAGATAAGAGCCTGAATCAAATCATTCCTACCAGACTCCAGGTTTCCAAAGTACTGAGTATATAGACCATGCCCTGCAGGAAATGACAGCCCAAGAGAGGGGGGGGAACAAGCCCTCAAATAACGCCAGCACGAGATGTTAGAGGTCAACTCCGCAAGACCCCCATTTGAGTTTAGTTTTTACTTATTTATTTAGAGACAGGGTTTCACTCTGTCACCTAGGCTGGAGTACAGTGATATGATCACAGCTCACTGCAGCTTCGACCTCCCTGGGCTCAAACGATTCTCCCACCCCAACCTATTAAGTAGCTGGGACTGTAGGTACATGCCACCACACCTGGCTAATTTTTGTATGTTTTGTAGAGATGGGGTTTCTCCATGTTGCCCAGGCTAGTGTCGAACTCCTATGCCAAGTGATCCTGGTACTGCAGCCTCCCAAAATGCTGGGATTACAGGCACGAGCCACCGCTCCCAGCAAGACCCCTATTTTAAAGGCTTCTAACATATAGTGTCAAATTGCATTTTAGCGAAGTTAGACCAACTTATTCCCCCACCAACATATATAAGGGTGTTTATCTCACAGGACCCTTGCCAGCATTGAAGATTCTGAGTTTTTAAAAATGTGTTAATATGCTGTGTCTTTACTGGTATTTCTTTGATAGTGAAATTGAACGTTGAATGTTAACTTTGTATTACCTGTGGGAGAAAGTATCACCAAACAAGTTGATAATGCAAGCAAGCTTTGTAACAGTAATTCTTCCCAATTCTAGTTCTTCCTCTGTGTCTGAGATCCAGAGATTGATTTACCAAGGTCACAGTCAAAGGGGGACACCTTCAACTTCAAATTATTTCACATTTGAAGCACAGTTTAGAAATAATTTGTTGTTAAAGTTCTGTCCGATAGGGTCGCTACTTAGGAAACTCTGGTTTAGGAGTTTCTTACTTAGGAAACATCTGCTCTTCTTTAAACAATTTTTTTCATTTATATTTTTCCTTGAAACTCCTGTTATTTCAAAAGTAGTGGGATTTGCTGTACCAGTATAGAAATGAAACATCAGAAAGTAATTCAGGCGCTTCTCGACAGTGATGTCTGACTTCAGCACCTGTGCTGTGTGAGTGATTGTCCAGCTGGGGACTCACTGCTTAAATACGGTATCCGTATGCTCACCTCCCTGGCCTGGAATCTGGAGGGCCTCCTCCTGGCCGGGCTTGGTGAAGGTGCCGAGAAGGGCCCGTGTTGCCGCGAGCCACCCAGGGTGGAGCTCCACACCGAGCTCTTCCCTGAAAAGCACACGCTGCAGTTCCCGTCTGGTTCATCCCTTTTATCAGTGTGCATGGCCTTTTGTGGGCTGTCTTGGCCAGCCCACCGTTGCTGTTAGCACTGATTCTGGAGCAAAGTGCCTGTCAAGCTTCAAACCCACTCTCGCACCTCACATTTTCGTGGATTGCGAACTGTGTGTGCTGCGGGGAGCCTGGCGACACTGGCTGCTGTTCTCCCAAGCCCCTCCCTCCCTAGCAGTCTCCCCTCCCTCGGTCCCTCTTACCAGCCTCCAGACATGGCCTCATCCAGGCCACAGGGCATAAAAATCCAACTGGACGTGAGGGGAGGCAAGAGTGTGATCTGGCTTTGAATTCCAGCCTCGCTGCTGAATGACTTCACACTTGAGATCCCAGAGGGGCTGTGAAACCTAAATTCCACATTCACGTGCGTATGTGGAGTCCACACGCTCTGGATATGCTCCACAGAGGCTGGAGTTTCACAGAGTGGGCCATCCCTCTCAGTAACTTTTACCGGTATTGCTCAGATTTGTGTGGAATGTGTACGAATTGATCAACATGAATATTTCTAGGCTGTTAGGGACACAAAGGTTTTGATTGAGAAACTTTTGAAGATATTTGAAAAATTATATCTGAACACATTTTGAAACGGTAGCACCTCCTGAGCCCAGCTTTCCTCCAGGGCGAGTAGGGAGAGCTGGCCCTTGTTGTCAGGGTGGCCGGAGGACCGTGCAGGGGGACTGTGTGCAGAGCTCTTCCCCTCACCTGAGAGGAAATGGGGATCCTCATGCCTCATGCCCAGTGCTACACCCTGGGATGAGGCCCTGAACTTTGCTTTGCTTTTCACCCCTGAGCAAACCAGTAACTCAAGGCCATTTCTGAAGACAGTGGAAGCTCTGGAGTCCGACTGCTTGCATTCCATTTCCACTCGAACATCCATGGTGTGACCTTGGGCAAGCCGCTTGGCCTCTCTGATACCCCATTTTCCCACCTGTAAATAAAACGCGGATAATGTCATCATCCACCTCACAGCGTGAAGTGAAACGATATAGAAGGCTCGGTGCTGCACCAGGATTATAGCGAGCACCAGTAAATGCCGTCTGCTATTAGCAGATTCTTTCTCTAAATTTAGAGATAAAATATATCATCAGATAGATTTACTCTAAATTTAGGAGACATATTTTAATGGTGTATCTATTCTGGGGTGCCACAACTTCACAGGAACAAAGAAACTTTGAAGTTAAAACTAGCAGTGACATCAATTAAAGGTGTAGAATATAGCCCGTTAAGGTTGCTAAACAATTTCAGTTTTAGGCCAGGCGTGGTGGCTCATGCCTGTAATCCCACCACTTTGGGAGGCCAAGGTGAGTGGATGGCTTGAGCCCAGGCATTCAAGACCAGCCTGGGCAACATGGTGAAACCTTATTTCTACAAAAAGTTAGCTAGGCATGGTGGTGTGTGTCTGTAGTCCCCGGTACTTGGGAGGCTGAGGTAGGAGGATTGTTGGAGCCCAGGAGGTTAAGGCAGCAGTGAGCTGAGATTGCAGCACTGCACTCCAGCCAGCCTGGGCAACAGAGCAAGACCCTGTCTCAAAAAAAAAAAAAATCAATTTTATTTCCATAGAAAACGTAGTTCTAAATGGTGGCTTAATTTCTCATTCTTTTAAAGGTGGGAAAATTGTGTTTGGCATTTGATAGAATTCAGCACTTTCTCTCCCTGGAAATAGTCACAGATTGTGGGCTTACATTGGAATCATTCAGAACTTTTTAGAAACAAAGAAATAGTTTAGGACCAAATAGATTGTTAGTCGCAGGAATGGGGAGCTGCAGAAGGCCATGCAGGTTTTTTCCCTTGAGCCCCTTCAAGGCTTATAAGGCGAAGATCACCCTCCTGGCATCGTTGGGACATGGGTCTGCTCTCATCACCTCAGACACCTTGCAGGGCCCATAAACAAGTCATTGTAGTACACATGCTGAGCACCACACTGGCAGCAGGCACAGGGCACCCAGGGACCACAGAAGAGGTATCCCCACATGCAGATCAGGGAGGCTCCCCTAAGGGATGTGCGCCTGAACAGAGCTTCCAGGAATCCGCCCAGGAGCCAGCACGCTACACTTCTCTTGGGGTAGCGTCTGTTGCATCAACAGAAATGCAAATGAGGATCACTGTGCTTTTCTTGGGGGTTATGTTTCTACATTTTTAAATGATTATGTAAAAAAAATGGTAATCACAGGCAGCTTTCTGGCCTCTTACTTTGTGACAAGATGCTAAGCTTTCTCTTCTTCTTCCCTCTCCCAGATACCTACTGGAGCAGGATTTCCCAGGCATGAGGATTGGTCCGGAGCCCACCACTGACTCCTTCATCGCTGTGATGTATGGAGAGACTGAGGGCAGCACCCCAGGGAATGCTTTAGTCGTGGACCCCAAAAAGCCGTTTAGAAAGCTCAGTCGCTTTGGAAACGCTTTCCTGAATCGGTAAGGACCAGCAAGCTGCCATCTTCGGTCAGGCTGTTTAAACCTGTTCTTTGAATTATTGCCAGTTACATATAAAGGTTCAAAAACAGAAGAACAGAGACTGTCTACTCTAGAAGTCATAGAAAATATGTTTATCATATTAAGATATTTGAAAGACTATCATAGGAAATGATCATTTATGCCTATTCTGGGTAACTTGAGAGGGTAGAGCTAATGCCCAGGATTGGACATTATAAGGCTGCACAGGGCCAGGTGCATGGCTCGTGCCTGTAATCCAGCACTTTGGGAGACCGAGGTGAAAGGATTGTTCGAAGCCAGGAGTTTGAGACCAGCTTGGACAACAAAGTGTGACCCTGTCTCTGCAAAAATTTTAAAAAGTTAAAAAATAAAAAGGCTATACAGTATAAGGAAAAAATTTCTAAGGATTTGAGCTGCACAGAAATGGATTAGGCTGCCTTGTGAGGCAGTGAGCTCCCTGTCACCGGCAATGTTAAGCGCTGGCGAGACGGACATCTCTCAGGCATGGTGCGCTGGGCTTCTGCAGTCAGAGAGCTTAGCCCAGAGGACCCCTAAGCTTCATCTGACACTTGGGTTTTATCTGCTGACTCCAGGACAGGTCCCCCCACCTCCCTGGCTGACCCTTTTGCTTCTCACTCCCAGCTGTGAGCTGTTTCCTTATTTATCAGAGCAGGGCCAGGGAAACAGAGTGAAAAACATGGAAAGCTGATTTTCTTACGTGGTCTTTTTTTTTTTTTTTCACTCTGTCTCCCAGGCTGGAGTGCAGTGGCACGATCTCGGCTCACTGCAACCTCCGCCTCCTGGGTTCAAGCAATTCTCCTGCCTCAGCCTCCCGAGTAGCTGGGATTACAGGCACGCACCACCACACCCAGCTAATTTTCATATTTTTAGTAGAGACGGGGTTTCACCATGTTGGCCAGGCTGGTCTCAAATTCCTGACCTCAGGTGATCCACCCACCTTGGCTTCCCAAAGTGCTGGGATTATAGGTGTGAGCTACCGCACCCAGCCTACGTGGTCATTATTTTATAGATGTAAAGTTGTGGGATCGCTGAGGTTCTGCCTTACTTGGAGATGTGTTTTATTTGTACTCCTCCCATAACCTTTCATTAGAGTTCCCAGTGGAACTGAGGGCTGCTGGGGGTGGGGAGGACAGGCCGGCTGGTGCCCCTGGCTGCAGCTCTGCCCTTTCCCACTGGATCTGCCTTCCTTCCTCCCTCCTGCACCTCCTATTTGCTATCCCTAGCCTTTATGTAATGCTTTTCTCTTTTTTCCTATCATCCCCCTCCCACCCCTCCATTTCCCTCTTTCCTGGGTCTAGCTTTCGTGTGACTGATTTGGGGGAGTGGGTTGTAGGAGGCACAGAGCTAGGGAGGGTCATCCAAGCCTCTTTAGGGAGAGGAAGTAGAATTAGAGCTGACAGACCACATCTCCTTTCTAGAAGTTTTTAAAAATAGGAACGGATCCTCCCAGCTGGCTGCTGTCCTCCCAAAGGCTGAAGCACCTCATCGTGCAGCTCCAGGGGCACCATTCACGTGGCTGAGGAATGAATGATGTGCTGGATGCTGTGCACTGGCTTGGCCGAGGGCCCCCCAGGCACCTCCGCAGGTGCCTTCTGTGGAAGTTGGAACTCTCCGGGGAGCTGAAGTCTCCTTTAGGGGCTTTTTGATGCTCCTATTGCAAATCAAAGAAAGTATCCAGGAAGCCTGGCAATGGGATGAACAGAAATGTGCAGGTGATGTGGAAGGAGTCCCAGAGAAGTTCCGTCTTATTACTGATGGTGATAGGAACACTGTCCAGGTGATTTTTTCCAACCTGCAGGGCTGACTTTTCTAGGAGGAGTTTACTCTTCAACTCCAGAGCTGCCTTGGGTGGCACCAGAGTGTCTCACTGTGGGACAGGAGGTTGAGCCCTGGGCGGGAGAACCCCAGAGGGTCAACTCTCCAGATCTCTCAGGACAGAGTGGCCCAGGGTGGAGGGGAAGTAGACCAGAAGGGGAGGCCCCAGAAAGTTCAAGGCACAGGGTCTATCTCTGTGGAAGGCTTCCCTGGGGTCCTCTGGTTTCACTGCCACTGCCCTTTGTCTGAGGCTCTTTTTGCCCAACAAAGGCTTAATGAAATAAGCTGCCACTTTTTTCAGATTCCCACTTTGTGACGTCTGTATTCACAAGGGAGAAACCAGGAAGAGTGGTTATTGGCTTGTTTTATTTTGGCAAATGATTTACTTTCCTAACAAAAAAAAAAAAAAAATTTGAGTACAGAAAAGAAGTGTTCAGGAATGATTTTGAATGGCAAAGCTCATGTCTCAGAATTTAAAACTTGCTGAAAATAATTCATGTCTTATAATAAAAGCAAGTGTCAATTGAATTCAGAATAACACATAGAAAAATAATAGCAAGGCCGGGCGCGGTGGCTCAAGCCTGTAATCCCAGCACTTTGGGAGGCCGAGACGGGCGGATCACGAGGCCAGGAGATCGAGAGACGATCCTGGCTAACACGGTGAAACCCCGTCTCTACTAAAAAATACAAAAAAACTAGCCGGGCGAGGTGGCGGGCGCCTGTAGTCCCAGCTACTCGGGAGGCTGAGGCAGGAGAACGGCGTAAACCCGGGAGGCGGAGCTTGCAGTGAGCTGAGATCCGGCCACTGCACTCCAGCCTGGGTGACAGAGCAAGACTCCGTCTCAAAAAAAAAAAAAAAAAAGAAAAAGAAAAATAATAGCAAATAATTATATGGCATTTATGTGTCAGGTTCTGTTGTAGACTTGTATATTAGCTTTAAATCCTCACAGAACCCCTGTGACATGGTGCTACTGTTATCCTCAATGGAGGGGGAGGAATCAAGGCATAAAGAGGTTACTTTAATTTCCAGGGGGTCACTTCACCAGTAAGATCAGTGCTGGGATTGAAACCCAGGCTGGCCAATGAACAGTACGATGTTTGGACTGGGAATCACTGCCCAGTGTCCCCTATTTAACTCGTAAGGCTGTCCCTAATATAGCCCTCCGGTAATGATGATGAAGATGGCAGTGATTATGTCCCCAGTCATCACTTACATCATTTCATGTACATTATTCTTTTGAGGTTGATAACAGACAATACTGTGGCCAGTCTACAAATGAGAAAGCAGAAAGCAAAGACATGACTTGCTCAGGGAGAGGCCATCAGGGAGAGACAGAGAGGGGATCGGAATCCAGGTTCCCCTTCTCCCCTGTCCTCCACCCCACACCTCTGCTCAGCACCAGCCAAGAGGAGTTTCTGTCCTTCTACCAACTGTGTGTCAGGCTCACATGTAAGGGACATGCCTCATGTGAACTCAGCTACCTGAGAGTAAACAGCCTGATTAAGTAGTATCCACAGGACAGCGCCACACAGCAGTTATTCAAGAAAGAGTCAATTAGTTAGGGCGTTCAAATGTGTGTACATAATTATAGCTTCCCTCTGGGAACAGCACAGGGTTAGCACTAGAGGCAAACCTCTTTTCACATAGCATACTTCCCTGGGAACTAGGTCAAAATGTAACACCAAGTAAAGAAAATTGCTTGTTTTCTGTGGAGAACTTTCTCCCCCAGGCAGCCACACCAGAATCTCCCTGCGACAGGTGACAGGTGACAGGTTGTCATTACCTGGCCTTCTCCTTAAGGAGTGCTGGCTTGGGCATCTGCCCCCAGGGACAACACCCTCCACCATTAAGCAAAGCAGCGGAGCCTGAGTCAGCCTCCCAGGCTGGCGTCTAAGGAGTGACAAGGGGGTCTATGGTGCATTTCTGAGAAATGAATATAAATTGCTAAAAAGGTGTATATTAGAGAAATTCCATACTTGAACAATAAAAGGAGTTTAGTGTAGAACACAAAGAGTTCTATGGAAATGGCTGTAGTGGGACATTCTGAAACTCTAACAGACTGCTGTGCTCAGGACGAATTCCTCAGCGGCCGTCTGGGAGCTGCTCTGGGGAGGTGCTTGTTGACGTTCCAGAGGTTGCTATCAGGAGGCAGTTGCCCCCCACAGAGGAGGAGACAGCCAAGGGCACCCAGAGCACTGGATCCTCCGAGATGCCAGGGTACTCGGGTCAGTCCAAGAAGTGCCAGGCATTCACTGGGGTCTGACATTTCCCCCTGCAGTCTGCTTTTGAATAAGATGTTATGTTATTTCTCAGTCTCCTTTTCTAAAAAATGGTAATGTATGTATTTTCAGATTCAGCTAGCTACAGACATTTTTAGTCTGGGATCTAGTATTATTTTAAATTGTTGTCTTCCACAGAAGAAATTCTTAATCTCATGTACTTCGTCATTGCCTCTGTTTCTTTCTGTGAAAAAAGTTATTTTTCTGTGAAAAAGTCACGTTTTCTGTGAAAAATAACTTGAAACTTCCTTTTGAGCTGAAGGAGTGTGAACAGCCCTTCCAGGTCTCAGTCATTTTATCTGGGCCTGGTGATGGTAATGATAACCCCTGTCTGGTGTTTGAACGGTGATTCCCCCATCATAAAACACACAGGTGTCTTACTGGGCTTGTACTCCATTTGTTACTTCTGTGTTTGTAATTAAGTGAGGCTTACTCAGTTTAGCTTTTGAGTTTTGATTTCTTTTTTTTTTTTTTGAGACGGAATTTCACCCTTGTCGCCCAGACTGGAGTGCAGTGGCGCAATCTTGGCTCACTGCAACCTCCGCCTCCCGGGTTGAAGTGATTCTCCTGCCTCAGCCTCCCGAGTAGCTGGGATTACAGGTGTCCACCACCACGACTGGCTACTTTTTGTATTTTTGTAGAGATGGGGTTTCACCATGTTGGCAAGGCTGGTCTTGAATTCCTGACCTCAGGTGATCCACCTGCCTCGGCTTCCCAAAGTGCTGGGATTACAGGTATCAGCCACCGTGCCTGGCCGAATTTATACATACACACACACACACACAGGGTCTCACTCTGTTGCCCAGGCGGGAGTGCAGAGGCACGATCACAGCTCACTGCAGCCCCGACTTCTGCTCCAGCGATCC